TTTTTTTTTTTTTTTTTTTTTTTTTTTTTTTTTTTTTTTTTTTTTTTTTTTTTTTTTTTTTTTTTTTTTTTGGAGGATGACAATACTTCCTCTCTACCCTATGGGAGCGAGAAAGTAAAAACACGGTGGGACTCAGGATATGCTGAGAAAAATGATTCCGTCACTGGAAACAATGTACTTCATTCTTCGGATGACTAGAAGCTTCAAATGTGTAATTTAAGAAGTCAACCCTGGTAAAAATTGGCAGTAGAAACTGTGCTCCAAAATACTATGACCTACAGTCGGCTGTGAGATTTCCAATAGCTTCTTTAGCCGGCTACACAATTTCTTATAGTCTTTTATGGCCGATGGCGATTAAGCCACAGACAGGCGATAAAGGGTATGCTAAACGTTACTAATTACGGATGCTAGGAGTTAGTGAGTTTTTGGACTACTGCTCTCTTTTTGGGCCGTAGTATCTTGATTTATTTTGCGAGGAAAGCTCCGTACTTTTGATGGATGCCTACCATTCCTAAAATATTGGAGCACCTTCAGTTTCGTATGATACTGTGCAATACCTCTGGTGTGAAATAGTTGCTTCAAGCGCCGTGGCACGCTGCGGTGCGGCAGGCGGGCGGCCAGCGCGAAACGCGCGTTGGCGCCTACAAACCTAACAGGGATACTTCACGCGTTGCGCAATGCGTGAAGTATCCCTGTTAGGTTTGTAGGCGCCAGTGCGTCGCCGCTCCGCTTTGTGTTAGGCTCTAATATTTGATCTGGCGGAGTTAGCGTTATTCAACTCATGATTTTGAAATGTTTGCAAATCCTGTATGGATTATTCTCATTTTAATTGATGAAAAAAATAAGTATTAAAGGAAGTTATAAAGTAGGTTTTGTAAATATTAAGGTGGTTCCGTATCAAACTTAATGATTTCTAAAGCACACAAATTTCTACACAATTTCTTATAGCCTTTTATAATCGATGGCGAAAAAGCAACAGCCAGGCGATGAAGTGTAAAGCCCGGCGATAGGAACTATAGCCCGGCTGCATAATTTTTTATCGCTTCGTATAGCCCGGCCGTATGATTTTCTCCGCATTCTACAGCCAGCTACATGTTTTTCTGTTGCCTTCTTTAGCCGGCTATAAGAATTCCTATGGTATTTTGAAACGCAGCTCTTATCGCCAATTTTTACCAGGGAATAATAGCGCTCGTTCTGAATAGACAGCCTTTGCAAACGAAATGATCCCTGATAAGCGGTAAAAAAGGAGCAGTTTCTGGAACAGATTCCCTGATTTTTTCCTTGATTCTCCCTGTAAATTTTCATTCCCGGATGAATCCCGGTTTCCCCGTTCTAGACACCATGCTTAAAAGCTACCAGTGGTTGCTGTAAGCCCACACGAACGCAGACAAACCAACCGAGTTTTGAAGAATCGGACAACTACGCGTTCAAGTTGACTGATGCTCGGACTCGGGGAGCACCGAACAATGACGAATAGGCATGTCACGTGTCTTAGACGCCGACGGGCGAAAAGTTGGAGCGGGGGATGCTAATTTGACAAGGAGCTTTGGGGGTTGGAGCGGCCTACCTACGTGACTTCTCCGGAGAAGCTCTCTTACCCCTCAACTCACAACAACAACAACAACAACAACAACAAACAGACCGCACGGCACGTCTTTTATCACGAAAAAAAAGCTGCCTTTGAGTCTGTTTCCCCATCGGGAGGGGCCATAGTGTCTCGATTCTCAAAGAAAATGGAATTTATAAATTAGCTGGAGAGACAAAACGGGTGGTGTTTCTCGAAGGGGAACCGAAATGACATTAGGAATGTTCTTGCATTGGATAATGCATTTTTTCACGACAGAGGGGTTGTGCCGATTCTGGTGGAACACGGAAAAAAAATGTCAGGGGTTAGCCCCTAAAATTGTGGTACTATCCCAATTTGTTGGACGATATAGACATTTCTAATTGATTGTATTAGAACTGCAACTCAAGTTAGGGTAGTACCGCAATATTTAGGTTAGTTACCTAATTTATTGGGGTACTACCGTTCATTGGGGTA